CAGGCTGGCCTCGAGCTCACAGAGATCTGCCTGCCTCTGCCTCCTGAATGCTGGGATTAAAGGCGTGTGCCACCACGCCCGGCCCAATTTTCTACGATATTTTTATATTATATCATGCATCTTATATTTTTGTGTATGTACTTATTCTTCTTATAGATGTCTGTGAGATGTAGTTTACAGAGAACAAAGAAAGCAGAATAGGAAGATATGAAATGAGCTTTAGACCACATGTTGAGATTTGAGATTTAGAGTATTTTTAGGGCTCATTAGCCTTGTTGTGGTTATTAAAAAAACAAGGAAAATGTTAAGAGAAAAGCATGTGTAAGCAGGAATTACTATACGACTGCACCTAAGAAAGTATCATTGTACAAATGTTTTCAAAGTGTTACCAAATAAAGTTTGCATATTATATTGAATAGTTTCCATGAAAAATGTCCACAAAGTGCAGTCACCTCAGAGCTGGGCTCCCAGGACTGTCTTCGACCACATTTTCCAGACCTTTCTCTAGAAGGAAAAGTTTATAACTGCTATGATAAAATGCCCATGTTCTCTGAGATTCCTGTGTTGAAGTCAGAGCCCCCAAGGTGAGGCCACTGGATAGTGTGTCTCTGAGAACCTTTGGGTATAGTGAATGGACTCAGTGGCTTTACAAAGGGGACACAGGCTCTTCTCCCTGCCACTGCATGAGGACCAAAGTAGGAAGAAGCCATGTGTGAGTCAGGTACTGGGTACCAGACACAGACTGCATTGATCTTCCCCTCAGCCTTCCAGCTTATTGAATTGTGAGAAATAAGAGTCTACTGAAATAAACATAAACCCAATTTATGTTTGTTAAAACAGCCCAAACTAACTAGGACAGGAACATTTGCAAAGTAGTCAGCCCAGAATTTTGCATTAATATTGCATTCCTATGACAAAATAGTGTATCAGAACTTAGGCATAAAAAGTTTGTATCTAACATTTTATGTTGCTTAGACTTTGTAATGTTAGGAATCTTTGATGTCTTATGCATCTAATTCATATCCTTTAGGGTTATTTATTTATTTATATTTATTTTATGTGTCTGAGTGTTTTGTATGTATATAAGTGCACCCATGTTGTGCAATGTCCAAAGAAGCCAGAAGGGGCGCTGCAGCCCCTGGAACTGATATTATGGACCATTGTTAGCTACCATGTGAGTGCTGAGAACTAAACCCAGGTCCACTGCAAAAGCGGTCAGTGCTCTTAACTGTTGAGCTGTCTCTCCAGCACGTTTTATTTTTGTTTTGTTTTGGTTTGGTTTGGTGTTGGTTTTTTTGTTTGTTTGTCTTGTTTTCAGTGTAGAACAATTAGCTTGATTTCACAATTCCTGTAGAGGAGGAAGTTTTTGTTCTGTTCACTGTAATATCTTGCTCCTTACACACAGAAAATGTTTAATAGCTATGTGTCGAGTGAAAGACACATAATGACCGTTTTTCTGTCTATATTTTTGGCAGACCCATATGATCTGTTTTTCTTTAACGCAGATACTGATTTTAAACTAGGTAAGTCTTCATATTTGATTGTCTATACGTGAGTTTGGCTGGGGTCATTCTCTGCCTCTGGCTAGGCTCGACACCAAAGTACAAAGGAAAGATTGTCTACCTTTGTTCAATTTGTCTGCTGTGTATAATGGGTTTTTGAGTAATCACTTCAGGATCTGCACTAGGATTCCTATATGTTCTGCCGAGGTAGCTCATCAATGTCCCATCTTACATGGTGATTCTTTGGCCTTTTGCTTGATCCTTGATCCATTTTTACCCATGCTGGTGTGAGGACCTAGTACTTCTCCCTCTCAGGCCTTATTCTGAAAGATCCACCTGAAGGTGACTATCAGCATAGCAAATGGCCTATACATCATTCAACTTTCCTAAGACTTTCTTATATTTTCTTTTTTCCTCTTCTCATTTTTTAAAAAGAAAGCTGAGTCTGGTAAGACATCTCAGAGGGAAAAAGTGCTTGCCATCGAGCTGAGTTTGACCCCTGAAACCCACAGGATAGAAGGAGGGAGTTTTAAATTGCCATCCTACCTCCACATGAGCATCAGGGCATGTACATGTTGCTCTCCCCACTGAATAAAAACATTTAGAAAAGAAAGCTTTCTGTATTCAGTGTACATTTCTGTTTCTCAGTAACTTAGAATCCTTAACTGTGCTAGCATGGGATTTATTATAGCTTCTTTTCAATGCTCCATACAAGTTGTCTTTATATGTAATACATTCTTCTTGGTGTAAACAAATTAAAGTTTGTAAGTTGAAAACAGTCGGTCATGGAGGTGTTTGCTTGCAATCCCAGCAATTGGGAGGGGGAGGCAGAAGGACTGTCATGAATTTGAGGCAAGCTTGAGCAATATAGCAAGATGCTCTCTAAAACTAAGTAAGAATAATTTATCTAGGTGTGGTGGGACACATCTTTAGTCCCAGCACTCAGGAGGCAGAGGCAGGAATATCTCTGTGAGATTAAGTCTAGCCTAGTCTGCACAGAGAGTACCAGGCCAGCTGGGGTTACAATGAGACACCATATTGAAAATGAAAAAAAAAAAAAGCAATTTAAGAGCAAGGTTGAAAACCAAATCAGACAGCGTTATAAATGAGATACTGTTCATTCTGGGTTTGTTGCTTCTAAGGAGAAGCAGCAAGAATAGGTAGAATTCTCATCTTCAGTTGACCTCTGGAAAAGAAGTCCTCTCTGCCTAGGTTTTAAATACATTTCAGTTACCAATTTTAAGATGATGGAATGTGCATTTTTATTTAGAGTTTTGGATTAATTTAGATGAGATAACAATGATCACTATCTTCTTACCAAATGTGTTACTGCTTTTGAAATGTGAAAGTTTGAGTCAGTAGAACCCTCTACACTTAAAAAAATCAACAATCCCCTTAAATTCATAAGTGCATGATTCCTTGTACTGAGATATTTGTAGTCGTGTCTTTTAATTAATCAAATAAATTATATAAGTTGTATGTCTATTGTGTTCTTTCATTAAATATTCCATGTCATTATATGAGTTCATATGATACATACTTCACACACATGCACTTACCAATGTTCACCCACATACACCCACACTTACATGTGTGTGCATGCACACACACACACACTGAATTCAAATGATCTTTATTGTTTAACAACACAGGTCAGCTATACACCGGGACTAGTCACAGTAGATAACCTCTACCTAGAATAGTATGTTTAATAGTATGTTATTTGGGTATATCATATTGACTCTCCATTTTGAATCTGAAAACAGTTAATTTCTAAGACATTATATTTTAGGCATCATCGAAGGTATGTGGAAAGCCCTAATCAAGACAAGTTCTCAAAGACATAGTCAATACGTTGATAGTTCTGAATAATTTTAAGATGTTTGATATTCCTGAATGAATCCACCCCCCAAAAATCTTTATTTCATAAAATGATCTACCTGCAAATGTAAAAGTTTTTCAAAACCATTAAAAACTAAAAGTCTAAAGAAATTATGTTTTTTTAATCCCTTTTATATTGACTTTCTCCCTCAAAAAGTGAGCCTCATACAAATACCTGATCTGAGAATGTTGTTGTTTTTAAAAAAGATTTATGTGATTTTTAAAGATCTTGTTACATAGGACAGCAAAATCCACAATATGACTGGATACATGTCTGTCAATGTGACATGATTTGCTTAGTTTGGAAGATGGAGTTGTGCTTATTCAAACTAAAAACACAGTTTAATGTGCAAAGAAATTATTTGGTTTAACAATACCTTTTGTAAGAAAGAAGACTTAAATGTCTAACATAGATTATATTAATGCAACTATAATTGCTGATTAACTGGAGAAATGGGAAACGTCCAAGTTCCTGTAAAGCAAGAACTCCATTTTTTATTAATTGATCCCATTTTCTTTCTTTTCCACGTGCACTATGTGGGAAACCCTGATTGCCTCTAGCAATCCGAACTAGCACAAGATTTCAACATCACATATTTGTCATTTAAATCCTAGCCCTCTTAGTGAAAGGTGGGGACTGGACTACAGTGAGTGATAAGAAGAAAAGAAAGAGAGTGAGTAGGCTTCCACACCCCCAGATAGCCAATGCTGGAGGCTGGTAATGCTTTTATTTTTTCTTTTTTCTGGAAACATAGGTTATTTGCTAAAGTCTCAGTTTTCCTCTCAGAAAAATCTTGTTCACAGTAGAGGTGGCCAAATGTCAGATGCCATGTTTCCTTGCATGTGGAGCAAACCACCCAGTTTTAAAGTTTAAAGTTTAAAGTATTTTATTTTCCAGTGTATGTGAGGGGTGTTATTTGTACACATGCATGTGTGAGTTCATGTAGTGGCCTGATGAAGGCATCAGTATCATCTCCTTCGCTCTCTAGTTTATTTTTATTAATAACCTTATTGATACTTTGAACATTTCAAACAATGTAATTTTATTCATCTCCTCTCAGATCCATCTCAATCTCCCTATTTCCTATAAGCTACCTGCTCTATTTTAAAGGAAATATTGAGTATTTGTATTCCCCAAATATTCTTTTTTAAATTGAATTTTTGAGTATTTTATACAGAATATCTCAAACAATCTTAATCACTTTATACCCCCATCCCACTGGCACCTCCCATAACCCCTGCACTGGAACCCATATACTGTCATCCATATATTAAGGCCCAATGTGTCAAAAAATATGAACACTTCATGAATTTGCATGTCATCCTTGTGCAGGGGCCATGCTAATAGTCTCAGTATCATTCCAATTTTAGTACATGTGCTGCCGAAGTGAGCATGTGTTCCCCAAATCTGTCGGGTGTAGGTCCATCTGATCAAGCATGGTCAAGACACTGAGCCTCACACCCTTCATGAGAGCTGCGTCGCCCACTCCCAGCAGCTGTCAGTTTCCCATAGTTCCTACACTGCAGCTGGGGGCTCCTTCTTTACTGCCCCTCCTCTCCATGTTGGGCTTTGTCTGGCTAGCATTTGTACAGGTCTTGTTCATGCTGTTACAAGTGCTGAGGGTTCGTATGTGTAATTGCCCTGTTGTGTCTGGACAACATCATTTTATTGTATTTATTCAGCACCTCTGACTCTTACAATCTTTTCACCTTCTCTTTCATGACACTCCCTGAGACTTTGGGCGGAGGAGTGTGGTATAGATGCTCCATTTAGGACTGAGCACTCTGGAGCCTCTTACTCTCTGCATGTTGACCACATAAGAATCCCTGTGCTAATACACACCATCTGCTGCAAAAAGAAGCTTGTCTGATGCACTAACCCATGGGTTTAATACCATATCCATTTAGCAGAATAATAGTAGTAGGTTGTCCACTACAGCCTGGGTCCTGCCTAGCACCAGGTTCCTGACCATGGTAACTGTGCTAGGTATTGGTTCCATGTTGTGAAGCAGGTCTTCAAGCCAATCAAAGTGATTTGTTGCTCCCACAACATACATGCCACTATGGCATCAATAGGCATATCTTGTCAGGACAGTCATTGTTCTCAAAGTTCACAGCCGGGTAGGACTGAGGCTAGCTTTTCTCCTATGGTGCCGTGCATAGCATTGTGGAGGCAAGCAAGAGCAGATGAAGATTCAAGGTCAGTGCCAGCTTGATTCTCCACCTTCTAGGGCTCATGTAGATACACCTTCAGCAAGAACATCTTACTGTCACGTTCTAGCGGGTAACCAAGGACAACAGCAGTAGCCAGTATTGTTTGATGGTCTGACAGACAACCCTGGCAAATAACTCCAAAATAGAGTGCCCATTTATGATATTGTGTTTTTCATTTACTAACCTGTGGTGTCTGATAGGGTCATTGCACCTTATTTTTTGAGACAGGATTTCTCAGAGCATCTGAACTCTCTAAGAATTAGCCTGGCTAGCCAGCAAGTTCTCAGGGTGTACCTGTCTTCACCCCCAGCACTGTGGTCATAGGCATATAAATAGTCATTCCAGGTTTTTGTTGGTCTGAGGGATTCCAACTCAAGTCATTGTGTTCCACTGCTAGTGCCCGTATCCACTTCTATCACGCCAGTGTCACATTATTTTCATTAACAACAAAGTTTCGTATGTGTTTGAGCTGTGGAGAAATAGAGCATTGTCAATAACAGTTTCTATACACTAAATTCAAATTACTTATATTTCTTATTTTAATTTTTCCATTTACTTATCCATTATTTATTAGAAAACTAAAATTTTGAGAGCCTCATTTCTCATGCAAATATTTATATCATGGAAAATTAAGCAATGAACTTTCAAAGGAAAAGAAAAATTCAAAGTGTTTTTATATTGCTCTATTATATATTCATATTTTACATATTCTATACTATTTATTGATACTAGGCCTTCATAACATTTGAGGATGAATTTAATGAATTCCTTAGCAGAATGATTTCAGAGTCCACTAGAAATGTTAACCTTCTACTGTGACATCTGTAATTTGGTTAATGGATTGTGATTGACATTATAAAATTTATGCTGATAATGGACATATAAATTCCTATCTTTGTCACTACTGAGTAATTTGTGCATATTTTATCCACATTTAAGAATATTTCTATTAACATTTTCAAAGATGAGATAACATTTATGCTGGATAGCTTTAGTGTCAACTTGACACACCTGGGTCGAGGCAGCCTCAATTGGGGAATTGCCTTCATTGGACTGGTCTGTGGCCATGTCCATGGGGCACCTCCTTGATTGTTGAGTGATGTGGGAGGGCCCAGCCCACTGTGAGTGGTGCCACCCCTGGGCAGGCTGAGCAGGGGACAGGGGAGCAAGCCAGCAATCCTCCATGGCCTGTGCTCCAGCTCCTGCCTCCAGGTTCCTGCCCTGAGTTCCTACCTTGGGCTCCTTGATGAACTGTGACCCGGGAGATGTAAGCCAAATAAACTCTTTCTTCCCCAAGTTGGTAGTGGTCAGTGTTTTGTCACAGCAATGGAGAAACAAGCTAGGACAGAAATTGGTACCAGGAGTGGGGTATTGCTGTGACAGACCTGACCCAGTTGTTTTGGGGAGGATTGTGGAAATGTTTGGAACTTTGGGCTGGAAGAGCCATTGAGTGCTCAGAGTTTGTTGCTGTGCAGCTTGGAATAGTTATGCTGAAAGAGTTGTAGATGATGGAGGTCTGGCTTTTGAAACTTCAAAGGGAAACAGAAACTATCAGGGCTGTTTATGTGATGTTTTGAGTTGAGAATCTGTGGGTTCTGGTCAGCTGGGGCTGAAGAATCAGCTGTGATTAAGAAGATACCAGAACCTGATGTAAAACCTTTGCTTTACTGGGACAATTGATGCTGGTTAGCTGGGGCTGAAAAATCAGCTGTAAGTAACAAGAGACCAGCATCACTGTGTTGAAATTTTCTGGGAGGTATTTCCTCAGGGTCAACATACAGAGGTGGACCCAAGCACCCATCTCTAGCTGGAAGCAGGACTTGGTAATGTGTAAGAGTTTCCTGCATGGTTCTGGTGTTGAAGGCGTGAAGGGGTCACAGAGAGTAGCTGAGGCTTGGTGCCCCAAGAGGCCTGGAAAGGCCATAGATGCAAGTGAAGCCTCAGCTGCAGTGAAGACCCCAGGACTGACGGGGTCACAGAGAGAATCTGAGGCATTGCATGCCAAGCAGCAAGAGGCCATTGGTGAAGGTGTAGCCTCAGTTTCAGTGGCGACCCCAGCTTTTTGGAGATGCCAGGTCCTTGGGACGACCACCAGGGGCAGCAGCAGGTGTGGAATGGAGCTGGCCTGGGTCTGGGAATCGAGCTGTGTGTGCTGTGGATGGCAGAGTCAGAGAGGTGGAGCTGCCAGAACCCCTTGGAGCCCAGAAGGTCGTGAGTGGATCCCTGATGTCCAGCCTTAAGCTACTTTGCTGGACTTTGGTTTTGCTTAGGTGTGTCTGATTCTTCCCTTTGAAATAAGACAGTATTTGTTTTGGATTTTACAGAAACCCACAGTTAATAGATTTTTAAAAGAGACTATGGACCTTTAAGTGTTTGAATTTTTTTAAGGACTGTGGAGTTTTTAAGGTTGTACTGACTTATGTTGTGATATTAAAATCATATCTTGGGAAAAAGAATTTGAAAGATTATGGTTTAACAGTGATATGTTTGTGTGTCAAGTTGACAAGGGATCAATTGTGCTGGATAACTTTAGTGTCAACTTGACACACCTGGGCTGAGGGAGCCTCAATTGGGGAATTGCCTCCATTGGACTAGCCTGTGGCCATGTCCATGGGGCATCTTCTTGATTGTTGAGTGGTGTGGGAGGACCCAACCCACTGTGGGTGGTGCCACCCCTGGGCAGGTGGGCCTGTGTTGCATAAGAAAGCAGGCTGAGCAGGGGCCAGGCTAGCAAGCCAGTAAGCAGTGTTCCTCTGTGGCCTGTGCTCCAGCTCCTGCCTCCAGGTTCCTGCCCTGAGCTCCTACCTTGGCTTCTCTGATGAACTGTGACCTGGGAGATGTAAGCCAAATAAACCCTTTCCTCCCTAAGATGGTAGTGGTCAGAGTGTCACAGTAACGGAGAAACAAACTAGGACAACACTTTTCTCAAAAACTGTTTGTAAGTTTTTGATTTCAAAATTTGTACCCATCTCCATTAGCTATAGTATATAATGTAAGCACATTCCGTGGGGCTCAGTTATGTGCACAGTGAATTCTCAATTGTTGATGAAGTAATTTGGATGGAGGTTACATGAGAGGGTCCTTCCTTTCAGCATTCTCCAATCAGTATTCCTGCTGTACACACCCCTGCCACACTGAGGATGCAGAGTGAACATACACCATAGGAAATCTCTTTTCATGAAGCTCACAGTATAGTGTGGAGACCAGTATTAAACAAATAGCACCGATGGTGATAAGTACTGTGCATAGTAAGAACAGGATACAGAGAAGTAAATTCATTGGTGTGGACGTGCAGAGGAGGTGAAGGCCGCTTGTCATCCGTGAACACGCCTCCCCGTCTCTTAAATATCTTTTGTGAGATTCCTGAGTTCTGTATATGGCAATGACCTTGAAAAGTAATAATTTCATGTTTTCTGTCATATGTGGAATCTACACTTTTCCAAATATATATACGAAAGAAGCAGAGGAAGGACCTGCTTGTGACGAGAAGGGAGAGATGGAGTAGGGGACAGGGACAAGAGAGGACCATGGGTGTGAATGTGATCAAAAGTTGTTGACGTTTTTGGAATGTCATAATGAAATCCATCGTGATTTGTAGATGCATAAAAGTCGATTGAAGAAGGGGTCGAGGGGCTGGAGAGATGGACCAGCAGTTAAGAGTGCTTGCTGCTCTTGCAGAGGACCTGAGTTCTGTTCCTAGAACACACATCAAGCAGATCATGATTCCAGATAACTCCAGGTTCAGGGAATGTAACACCTGTGGCTCCCCCACACATGTGTGTGCATACATAAACACACACATGCCCATATAAAAGTCAGAAAACAAATCTGAAGGGCTCAAGATAAAAATTGCTTGTTCATAATATTTCTAAAAATTAATGCTGAAAATTTTAAAGAGAATATGCATTTAGAAATCTAAAATGCTGGGATTTTCCCCCCTTAAATGCTTGCTTTTATAGAAATTGTAACTAGCTGGACGTGGTGACGCTCACAGAAGGCAGAGGCAGGCGGATCTCTGTGAGTTCAAGGTCAGCTTGGTTCCAGGTCAGCTGGGACTACAGGGAGACCCTCTGTCCTCTGTCAAAAAAAATGTATTGAACTAAAAGCTAAGTTATGTTGCATAGATTTATAGAATTTAAAAATTAAAGTATTCCTGGCTCATCTGATTTGACTTGCATTCT